GATGAGTCTTGCTGCCCAGGCGGGTCTCGAACCCGCGGGCTCAGGCAATCCACTCACCTCAGCCTCCCAAAGTTACGGGATTACAGGCTGAGCCACCGAGCCCGGCTCACCCTTTATTTTCAATATGTCCAAATCTAATCTTGTCCTTAAACACTTTACTGAATACATAGCCTGACTAGTTCTCTCTATCCTTTATAGTGTGGTGTTTAAATGTATAGACCTGGATTCTAATTCAGTCCTGCTACTTATTAGCTGTCAATATTGGGCAATTAGCATGTTTGTGCCTTAATTTCCTAATCTGGAAATGATAATAGCACCCATCTAACAGAGTTATGCTTTTCTGTAAGGGTGAAATAAGTTAATTCTTGTAAAGCACAACAAATAGTGCCACCATATCAAAAGCACTCAATAAAAGTTAGTCATTTTCCAAATTCCCTAAAATGGTTAGTAATCTCCATTTGGCAATGATTACTTACCAAGTGGTGACATATGTTGTATTTTTGCTGTGAACTTAAATTTAAATCAAGTGTTATTAATGGATTTTTAATGGGCATATTTTATTTTCTTAAATAAACTGAAAGCCCCAAGAGCATGAGAGAACTCTGAATATTGAGCATATTCTACATGCCAAGAACTCGGCTAAGTGCTTTCTATAAATATTTCATTCATTTCTCACAATAACAGCATAAGCTAGTGACTATTCCCATATTATAGATAAAACAAAAATGAAGGTTTAGAGAGAGCACGTAATTTGTTCAAGTTTTCTAAGTAAGTAAGTTGTAGAGGTAGGACAGTTCTTGAAGGCAAAGATAATAATTTATATGTGTTTCCCAGAGTGCTCAACATATATTCATTAATATATTTACCACCTGTGTCCAATTTTTTGTTGCTATATATTTTGTTGCTATGATATTTGAAGCATATATACTTGGTAAGTTAGCTTTCCCTTTTAATAGATCCTAATACAGAGAACTTACTTTTCACTTTTAACGTGCTTTCTCAAAAAGTTTACCTTAGACCCTTTATTAAACCTTCCTCTCATTGTATTGATATCAGCATAATATACTTACAGTATATTTTATTATAACTAGATACCTTTGTGGATTTTTGGTTTTGTTCTACTAGTCTCCATATATTTGTAGTTAATCCCCACCAATTTATATTTAGCTTTATTTTTACACTTCTTTGGATTAATGTTGTTTTTATATTGCATTTGCTAGCGCTGGAAGAAATACGAGAGGACATTTGCTCTTTGACTTACTTAGGTGGGAAATGGGGCTCAGGCAGTAGGGGGACATGCCAATAATGCTCACTTAGCAAGGGGCAGAGAAGAAACCAGAAGTAGACATATTTATTCCCACCCTTGTGCTCTTTTAGCTAAGTGACACTGCCACCTTCATACAAATAAAGGCTAGGATTCTCAAATCCTAATATCTCCCACTCCATCTACTATATGGCTTTGGGTCAGTGCTCTTAGTTTACCTGTTATTGCATATTCCCAATTAGGAAGCAAAAATAAAGACATGAAAATAGAAAATACTTGAAGAAGCAAAAGCCCTGTGCAATTTTGCCACCTCTGCACCTTTAGTCATACTGCTTCCTAAATGTTCTTTCACTACATGCCCCTTAAGTAGTGCTATACAAAAAGTGGTCTGTGGATTGGTGTGTGACTAACAAATATTTATCACCAAGTGATAAGACAAGTACAGAAACAGAATAAGTATTTAGAAGCTATTATAACAATTTAAAAGAGTAATTTGTTATCTGTTAAATAAAAAAATGAAAAACTTCCATTTTATTTTGTATTTTTCATTTTACTAGTATTTAATGTTAATTGTACTCTACAAAAATATTGGTCTCCAGCAGATTGGGAGGAAAATGATCTTTTACCGCAAAAAATTTGAATAACACTGGCTTAAAGGGCTCAGGTTCAAGTACCGCCAGTTCTTTTATAAAGAATTACTGATGTTCCCGATAAATAGAGCTTTAAAAACTTATAATATTTGATCTAAGCCTTCTTAAGCCCCTTAACACTTTCTACCTAGATTAATAATTATTTGTGTGTTTGTGTTATCTTTTCTGAACAATTACAACTTCATTGAGGACAGGTTACATGCCCACAGTACCTCACAATTGGCATATAATTCATAAATTTGCATTACACTAATAGACTAGAAGAATTCACCATTTATAGTTATTCACATGTTTGAACAGGGGGAGTGTTAGAAATAAAAAAGGAACATTATTTCCTGAACTCAGATAGAAAAAAGAATAAAGTTTAGACAATACTCAATTCTACATTTTAAAAAAATTAATCTTTTGACCAGTGAGAAACCTGAATGTACATAGAAACTCCATTTTTACCTTATGGGAAGCAAATACATTGTCAAAAATTAAGTCTGAAAATCAATTTTGTGTCTCAAGAAACTCTAAGGACCAATGGGATTTTAGTTCAAGTTAAGTAGATATTTCATGTATGGTAGAAACCCAATGCCATTCCCAAAATTGCTCAGTTGTGTGTACATGTATATCAATGCTCATAACTCTGGACTCAAATACTTTTACCAGTAGGGTTGATAATATTTTAAATTACTAAATAGGAAAATCAGAACATGATATTTGCTTTAGAAGTCAGCTCTAGACCCTACTCACCAAAGTATTCATCGGCGGGTGGATTTTCCATGTCATACAGCATCTTTTTGGTCAGGTGCTCAAGCTCATCTTCTGGGCGAAATGAAGGCGGAAGGGACGAAGGCCCCAATGACCCTGTGTGTCCACCCTGAAAGATAGAAAACACATAGTCCTAGATCATCAATGATGTCTATCAGCCTGAACAAGTAGTGTTTGCATTGGAGAGAGAAAATAAAAAACAAAAACTGGACTTGGCTATCAGGAAACCTGGATTTTTGAATTAGTTTTCTCACTCATTCAGTGGCCGATTTGGATATATCTCTTTATTCACTTGTCTTATCTAGATAACTGATCTATCAGGCTTTAGAAATTCATGTTTACAACAGCAGGAATCCATTTTATAAAACATTTGTTAAGCAATCACAATACACCATTGTGTATTTTTTTAAAAAGATAAATAAATTGAATCTTTCTCCCTTATGGACCTTACAGTGAGAGATATAGGCACATTAATAATTAAAAAAAAAAACAGCTGTAGGAAGCGCACAATGAGGGTACAACAAGGGACCCCTCACATAGCCTGAGTAGACTTCCTGAGGCGAGACAGCAAAGCAGATTAGGATTTATTCAGTTAAAGAAGAGGAAACACACAGGTAGAAGTTTCTCACATTTAGGTTAAAAAAGGCAAGATGTGTGAGGAGCTCCTGGAATTTGTGTATTTCTGGACCACATAATAAAGTTTGAGATAGGAAATGAGATAAATCTTATTTGGTATAGGAGTCCAGAAAGTGAAATTTTGGTTCCAGTTCTTTTTGTTCCATTTAAGGAAGTGGAGTTTTTTGTTTTGTTTCGTTTTTCCCAGCACTGCAAATAGTCAGATTTCAAATAGGGATAAGTCAGTAGCTTTGACATTATGGGTGGATAAATGAATAATTCAACAGCTCCTTTAACCCTCACACCAACCCTATATGACAGGTAATGTTTACAGTTCAGAGGAAGCCCTAAGTTTAAACTTTAAAGTTCACTGGATAAACAGGTGGATGAGCCAGAAGTATAGCCATGTTAGAGAACAAAATGGCAGTTGAGTGAGTACTTGAGATAACCAACAAAGAATCCAAAGTGTGTCGTAAAAGAATGCACACAAAATGTACTTACAATTTCAAAAATTCACAAAGCACGTGTCTATACATTTTTATTTATCCAAGCAATAGAAAGTGATCTAATCAGATTTAGAAAGTTCTTTCTAGAGTAGAGGGCAGATGGGAGAGCTATGAGACTGCAATAAAATGGGAAAGCTTATCATAGTATATTTGTGGCCAGAGATAGTAAATGGATATATTATGTGGCAGCATAATTATGGCTGGAGACAGAAATTTGACTATGACATTCAATTGGCATTCTTAGGTAAGCTTGCCAACTTTTCATAACTTCAGGTTCCCATCTATACAATGGGCCTGTCAGTGCTACCTCACAGTCTTTGTGAGAAATAAAGTGAGATAGTTTGCATCTCATATTAAACCGAGTTTAACTACTTTCAGACCAATGTACGAAAGAGGTGTTCTTTGAGAGGAGATTATCTCAATTCAGGTAATAAAATTGAAAATGAGGATGGCAAAGTGAGTTCACCTTTTCTCCAATTTTGCAATAAAGAAAGAGCTTGAACCCAAAATATGGTATCACCTGACTCCAAATTCCATGCATTATTTTCCCAAGTAAATATTGTTTCCCAGGGAGAAAGTGCTAGAAAAGTATGAAATATTACCTGCAATAATAATGGTGCTAGATTTTAAAATTAAGCCAAACAACTATAAAAGAAAACCTGATAATTTCTGTTTTTCATCTTAGGGCAGACCCTCAGAGAATGAACACAGTAGAGATTATCACCAAGTATAAAATCTGCTTCCTTTTCAACACAAAGGCAGCAAGAAGGCAGATTCTGTTCTTCATAAATCTGAGGCAGAAGTTTAGATTCTACCTTTAGCACTTACATTTCAAGTATAAGTCTAGTTTCGAAGTACTTGCCTTGTCAGTATTTCAAAGATTTTGAGAAAAATGTATCATCCTGTTTATTCTCCAAATATTCCTTCCTATTTACTTGCCCTACTATTTCTAAAATAACCAATTTGGAAATGTTCCTTCCTTTTAGATTCTATGCTTCTACATAATGTCCATCATGATTCCTTGTATTTCTTATGAGGAAAGACCTGAAGCAATTATTTCTTCCAGAGTTTCTGAACTTTATTTGGTTATACAACACCCACTCCCACTCTGGGCATAATTCTTAACACCTGTGGAATATATAATGGAAAAATAACAAGGTTCCTCAGTTAAGAGTCATCTCTCAAATCAAGAAAGACAGCCTAGGACTTTCAGTGTTCAAGCCCCGTGGGTGGTAGTTTAGTACTATTCTCACTCTGATAAATGGAGAGGCCCTCTATTTTCTCTCTCAGCGGTGCTTATGACTCAATATGTCCTGAAAAATTAACAATGGTGTCCAACACATTTTTAAAAAAATAAGCATCTTCTAACATAGTATATGGATAATAAAATCCAACTGAAAAGTTGTGGTGGGGGGTGCCAGAAGGAACTGATTTGCATTATTTTTATTTTCTTCGAAAAACGTAAGTATGAATAACATCAGCACATATTCACTGTGGTATAATAATTTGTCCTATTTGCACGACCCTTTTCAAGGGGTCTGCTTTCATATACATGTAATCTCAATAGCCCTGTATGATATGTAATCCTATTTTATGCAACAGAATATATAGGCTTAAGAAGATAAGTGAACAACCTTGTGTGAATTACCACTGCTAAAAATGGCACAGCACTGACTGAAACCAGGGTGTGCGCAGTTGGGTGTATTTCTGCTGCACTGCAATGTCTCTCAGTTTTCTGATATAATTATCCCCAATACCCTTTAGCTCTATTATTCTGAAGTAACTTGCATTTTAATCTATCAAGGCTATTGTCTAAGCGAAGATTTTTTTTTTTTTTTCCGGAGTGAAGGTTTGCTGCTGAATCACCAAAAAAGGCATCATGAAGCAAATATAAGCAAAGCTGCTGGACTTCTCTATTTAAAAAAAACATAAATAGCAATATTAATCACTATTGTGTATGTTTCCTGAAATGTCTGAAGGACAGAATAGCATTGTATGATCCACTGGTGAGTTATTAAGTAATAGATTTTAAAGAGTTTCATCAAATTTTTCTTAACATACCCTTCCTAAAGAATTGCCAGGCGCTATAAACTATAATTATAAAGCCAAATTATTCAGAGTTCTTGCCTCTGACAACTCATAGTGTAGGAAGAAAGGGACATGTAAACAGTCAATGACAATAAATTGTAATCACTAAAGCACAGGCATGAATTCAGTGCTTTGAGACGGAAGAAGGTTGCCAGAAAGAGATGACTTTTTAGTTGGATCTTGAAGGATAAATTGGATTTCACCAGACTAAGAAAAAAGGAAGAAAAGGAAGGAAGGAAAGAAAAAAACAGAAAAAAAAGTAAAAGGCAATTCCAGAATAGTATGTATAAAATAACATGCACATCCAAAAAACTATTACGAAATAGTGAAGAAACAGAGCTAGGATGAGGCAAGAGAGGTGGGAAGTGGTCAATGCCAAGACTTCATTTTAAGTAACAGAAAGTCATCAGGAGATTTTTAAAGACAGGAGTTGATTTTATTAAAGTTATGCTTTTGAAATAAGTGTACTGGCACATATCTTCAAACACCAAAGCCAATTTCACCTTAAAAATCCAAGCAGACATCAATGTATTTCTGAGCAACTTAATGGTTAATATGCTTTAAAATAAACCTCTGATATTTACTAAGTATGGCAAAGACTGCTAACTGCTTATCAAAATCTGTTTCCTCTTCTTTTTGGGCACATAGCTAAACTATGTTTCCCAAGCTCCCTTGCAGTTAGATGTGGTCATGCGAGGAACAAAGAAGAAGGGACATTGGACCCTGAGGTACCACATGAAGGAGAGTCATCCACTGACCAGGATGATCTGCTATATACTATTACAGTAGGAACACTGGAAATAAATATGCTCAAAGGTTAATGGTTGAAGGTCATAAGAAAGTGAGTGGTTTATATTCATTCTTTCTATTTATGTCTTTGTAGTTTCCCTTTTCTATAATACAACTTTTCTTGTTTTTTTCCTCAGAAAAAAAAAACACCCAAGTATTTGGAACTGGTTCTTTTTTTTTTTTTTTTGCCATTGCTTGAGGTCCAGGTGGTTATCATTCAAGGAAAGACTTAATAAGAATCCAAATTTGGGTTTAAGTCACTGGTAAATGTTATCAGAGAGACTGTGCAATAAGGAAGCCTTGTTTCTGAAATAATGTAAGCACGTGGATAGCATCCTTAATGGACCAAAAACAAAAAATAAAACAAAAAAAAAACCCAACTCTGCTGGATTAAGAATAACACAAACAACAATATCTGTCATATTTTTTATAATATTTCATGGCGTTTGAAGTTTTTAATGTATTCTTACACAGGAACCCAGAAGTACAGAAACCATGCTATTTAGAATCTCTCTCTCTCTCTCTCTTTTTTTTTTTTTGAGTCTGAGTCTTACTCTGTCACCCAGACTGGAGTGCAGTGGCATGCTCATGGCCACCACAGCCTTGACCTGCTGGGTTCAGGAGATCCTTCTGCCTCAGCCTTCCAAGTAGCTGGTACAGGCACATGCCACCACATTCAGCTGATTTTTTTTTTAATAATCAATATTTTTATTATGATATTGTGGGGTCTCAGCTGATTTTTAAAAATTTAATGTAGAGATGAGTCTCACCAAGTGGCCCAGGCTGGTCCCAAACCGGTGGTGTCAGGCAATTCTCTTACGTTGGCCTCCCAAAGTACTGGAATTATTGACGTGAGCCACGGCACCTGCCTAGAATCTCTTTAATCTAAGTTCTGTCTTTAGCTTGCCCAGTGATTTTGCTCAAATCATTTCCATTTCCTAGGTATCTGTTTCTTTAAGTATAAAATATTATTTTCAAAGATTCCTTTGATTCTACTCTATTATCACTATTTTTGCCTGTAATATGCAGGGCACATATTATTACCAATCTTTAGAGTGAAATCACAGGTACTCATACTTACAGATCCTTTGTAGTTTATAAAAACAGACAC